CCAGAGATTTAACCCAGGGGTGCTTAACCACTGAACCATATCCCCACCCCTTTTTTAAAATACTTTATTTAGAGACAGGGTCTCACTAAGTTGCTCAGGGCCTCAGTAAGTTGCTGAGGCTGGCTTTGAACTCACCATTCTCCTGCGTCAGCCTCCCAAGTTGCTGGGATTACAAGCTTGTGCCACTGCACCTGACTCCCATCCTCTTAATTTAATGCAAGAGGCAGGAGACATGTTCCCTTCCCAGCTCTAGATTCATGTTTTTAAATCATGACAGTTAAAAACAAGCATCCAGACAGCCATGCACCTGGAAAAGAATCACTTCCTGTTTCTCCTCAACCTCCAGGCTGAATTTCATGCAGACTCTCACTGCTTTATCCAAGCAACTTGCCTGCACTATGGGCCAATGTCCATGTCCATGACTTGGAGATGGCAGGTCTCTGGTTGGCGGAGTCAACTGAGACTGAGATGTGAGCTGTTTCCAGTGGATGGTCACATGATGCAAACATAATTATGCAAGAATAAAGGTTTTGGGGTTAAACATAACAATGGCACTGGTACAGTGGCTCAAATCTATAATCCCAGCCACTCAGGAGGCTGAGGCAGGAGAATCCCAAATGAAAAGCCAGCCTCAGCAACTTAGTAAGGCCCTAGGAAATTTAATGAGACCCTGTATCAAAATAAAACATAAAAAGGGCTAGGGATGTGGCTCAGTGGTTAAGCACCCCTGGGCTCAAAAATAAATAAAATAAAATAAATAAATAAAAGTAAGAAGAGAAGGCTTGATATGTAGGTCCACAGAATAACACTGCATAGTGGAAGAATCTCCCATACTTGTGGTACTCAGTTCAAAACTCCAGTACATATATATTTATATTTATATATATTAATCCAAATCAGAATAGTAACTTCACACTTTAGACAGCTTGAAACATGCATGAATTCTTGCACAATTGGTTATTTAGGCACATGTCTATATTTAATCAATTCTGAATATAGGATGTTTTTAAAAGTAATATTGAGGTATGCTTATTTTTCTGCTTTTGGGCTTTATCTACTTCCATAGGACACATTAAGTACCTCTAGATAATTCTGCTCCACATTCCTGTGAGAATAAAAGTTAAAAAGATACATTATTACAAAAATAACTATGACCTGACTGAGCCTTACAATGGTTGATCTAGGAGTATGTGACAGAAATGCCCATGTAATAAAGATTTGTTATTATTTTCCTTGGAACATATTTCACCACAGACATATAGTAAAGCAGATGTGATGATGTTTATTGAGAAATGCTTTAAGAATGGGCAGGGCACCCCCTCGCTCACCCCCAGACCTGAGGTGTGCTGTGCTGGCAGCGCTACCAGTCTTTGGGGACCAGTGATGGCTCTTAAAAGAGCCTTTAGGGTTGGCTGCGGAGGGCTCCCAGAGGCGGCTCACTTGCTGGAATGTGAGCAGCTGAGGGCCCTGGTGGCCTCGTACACAGCGTGCTTGCCAATCTCCCCAGGCAGCAGGAGGAGCACGGCCGTCTGGATGTCTCTGAAGGTGATGGTGGAGCGATGGTTCTGGCCGGCCAGGTGGCAGGCCTTGCTGGTGATGCGCTCTAACATGTCCTGGACGAAGAAGTCCAGAACGCTCACGCTAGACCGGGAGAGGCTGAGGCCCAAATGGATGTGCTTCAGCACCCTGGGGAAATAGGTGGCAAAACTGTCCCCACACCTGGAGTGGCTGTGGTGCCTCATGCTCTTGGAGTGGCTGGGGGGCCTGGGCTTTGGTTGGGTGGCCGGGCCGGCCTTCTGAGGCTCTTGGGGATTGAGGGACTCAGAAGAGGTGTCACAGGCTAGCTCTTGGGGATTGAGGGACTGCTTAGAAGAAGAGTCAGAGAGTTCAGCCATTGCTGTCCACAGTTGGTGAGGACAGACAATGAGAGTTGCTAGGGGCTGGGAGCCCTTTATATAGGCCACATTGTGTCACATCATGGGCCAACTCGACATCTCATTGGATGGCCTGCCCTGCAAGTGTGTGTCATGGCACAGTGTGATTGGACAGTCCTCTTGCTTGGCATTCTGCCCCAACCAGAATGGGTACTCAATACAATGAGATAGTCCTCCTGCTTGACCAATTACAGAGAACGTCTGTCATTTTAGAATCTTCCTGTTGCCTCCAGCAGCAAGTGAGGAAGATGCCAAAGAGAGCAAAGAGTCATTGAACCACATTAGGTGATTCATGGCACAACATGAGCATTTTGAAAAGACATTATGGAAATTATAGCTCAGGCTCCTTGAGAGAATCTGTCATTAGTTTCCCTTGCTCATTTTCCCAGTGAAGTGACTTTAGGCCAGTTTGGTTCATTATTATTTCAAATCAGAATTTTTTTCCTAGAACAACCCACCTGGTTTGGGCTGCAATTCCCTGACATGGCCCCCACACTGCTCCTGGAAATGGAGTCTTGGTTGTATAATTCTGTCTTCAGATTTGATCAAAACCCTTGGAGAATCATAAAAGTAGAAACAGCCAAACCACAATCTCCGAAAGCAGAACACAAAATGAAATAGGTACACATATATAAATTTATTTTTTCTTAAACTTCTACCAAGTGTAAAATTGTTGTCTTAACAAAATTTGGATTCTAAAAATATTCTAAATGCTACTATGGGTGCTCAATTTGGCAGCACATATATTAAAATTGGAACAATACAGAGAAGATTACCATGGCCCCTGTGCAAGGATGACATGCAAATTCATGAAGCATTCCATATTTTTTATTGAGGGGAAACAATAATTTATATATAACCTGTAGGAAATGCTTCTCACATTGGGCTGTGCCTAATGAAAGGGAAGGATTAAGTCCTCACTGAAGACATGTAAAAACTAAAGTTTTACTAATTTGAAAGGTGCAATACTATAGTATATAAAGTAATTCTGACACTATTTTTAAGGGAAAAATATAGAATTGAATTTCTCTGAATCCTTATGATTGGAGCAAGCCCTTTGTAGCAATACTGCAACAATCATACAGTTGTGCCTAATCATAAATTTCTCATCACAACTAACAATCCTAAATAAATGTCAATCAATTATGTTAGTTGAAAGTTTTAATTATAGAAACAATGTTATATAATTGATTAATACAGAAAGACTCTCAACAAGTATAAAGGAATGATAGAAAAATAATGTTTACAAAGGTATAAGACTTATGAAAATATTATCAACTACTGTTGTAGTATATGATATTTCAAATTGTGTTATAATTGAATTTTTTCTCTTGTTAAAATAAAGTTGTACAGAATTTTTGCTGAAAAAAAATGCTGCTATTCCAGGCAACTACTGTTAATCTAATCTCTCTAAAACCCTCCTTAGAGAGACAAAGGAAATAAAGTGAGTGGAAATGGGTTTTAAATTGAAGGATATCCTTCAAGAAACTATGATAATACATTCAAAAACATTTCTTAAATATAAGAAAGTAAAACATAAATTACAGAAATTGAACCAAAGAAAGATTTAAGAATTGAAAAGTCTTTAAAAATAGAGATTAGTCATGAAATATCACACCAATGGCCAGGATTCCAATAGTGTTTCCTGACAGACCTGTAAGAATCAAGCAATAACTTTAGAATGTGAAGTGATAAAAACATTTTTCCTCAAGAAATAGAATTCGATGAAAAAAACCTGTTGAAAGGAGCATGCTAAGAAAATCTTAGCAGTTCATTTTAAACAAATTTTTATAGTAAATCAACACAATACCTTTATTTTATTGTTATGTGGTGCTGAGGATCAAACCCAGTGCCTCACATGTGCTAGGCAAGCACTCTACCAACTAAGCTACAGCCCCAGCCATGAGCAGTTCCTTTTTTTTTTTTTTTTTTTTTTTGAGAGAGAGAGAGAGAGAGAGAGAGAGAGAGAATATAAATATATCTTTTTTGTAGATGGACACAACACATGCCTTTATTTTTATGTGGTGATGAGAATTGAACCCAGGTCCCACCTGTGCTAGGCGAGAGCTCTACCACTGAGCCACAATCCCAGCCCAAGCAGTTCATTTTTAAACAAGGATACAAAAATCTTTCTTGAAATATCAGCAATAAAATATGGTATCATATAACATTAAACAAAATCATGAAATAATTTACTGTCATACATAATTAAAATTATCAAATCAGAGAAGACATTATTAATGGAACTAACTTGCTTCATTTCTTCTTTTATAACATTATCACTATTATGAAATTCATTTAAATATATAACCAAAGAACCAAACACAGTGGAGAAATAGCTACATGAAGAAAGAAAATAAAGGAACTGAGGATGTAGCTCAGTGGTAGAGCGCCTGCCTAGCCTAAATTAGGCCCTGGGTTTGTGTCCCAGATAGGAAAGACAGAGTGAAGTAGGAGAAAGAGAAGGAGAGAAGGAAAAAAGAGGAAAGGAAATGAAAATGAAAATGAAAAAGAAAACAGCTCTCTCCTTCAGCCGACCAAGATGCTGAAGGGAAAGAAGGCCAAGGGGAAGAAGGTGGCCCCGGCCCCCGCCGTGGTCAAGAAGCAGGAGGCTAAGAAGGTAGTGAACCCGCTCTTCAAGAAGAGATGGAAGAACTTTGGCATCTGGCAGGACATCCAGTCCAAAAGGTACCTTACCCGCTTTATAAAATGGCCCCGCTACATCCTACATCCGGCTGCAGCAGCAAAGGGTTATTCTCTATAAGCTGAAAGTACCTCCTGCGATTAACCAGTTCACCCAGGCCTTGGACCGCCAAACAGACACCCAGCAGCTTAAGCTTGCCCACAAGTACAGACCCGAGACCAAGCAGGAAAAGAAGAGGCTGTTGGCCCAGGCTGAGAAGAAGGCTGCCTGCAAAGGGGATGTCCCCACAAAGAGATGACCTGTCCTTGGAGCAGGGGTCAATACTGTCCCCACCTTGGTGGAGAAAAAGAAGGCTCAGCTGGTGGTGATCACACTTGACGTGGATTCCATCGAGCTGGTTGTCTTCCTGCCTGCCCTGTGCGCAAGATGGGAGTTCCTTACTGCATCATCAAGGGGAAGGTTAGGCTGGGACATCTGGTACACAGGAAGACTTGCACCCCTGTTGCCTTCACACAGGTTAACTCAGAAGACAAAGGAGCTCTGGCTAAGTTGGTGGAAGCTATCAGAACCAACAACAATGACAGATATGATGAGATCTGTCGCCACTGGGGAGGCAACGTCCTGGGTCCAAAATCTGTGGCTCACATTGCTAAGCTGGAAAAGGCAAAAGCTAGAGCACTTGCCACTAAACTGGGATAAATGTATGCTATTGCATTTCTATACATAAAAGTAATAAATTGTCCTTCATCCAGTGTCTTGGGCTGAAGGCAATAAACTTGTTTCAGGCAGTAGCAAGGACATGCCCCATAGTGTGAGAGCTTTAGAAACTCATTGTGTAACTTGCATGGAAAGGCTGTATACAGCAGTAAAATGTTCAGAAACCAAAGGAAAAAAAATGAAAGGAAAAAAGAAAAAGAAAACAAATGACAAAAAGAAAAAAAAAGGAGTAAGTACACTGAGTGTTCCTGGCTATCCCTCTAATACCTCTAGTTCCCATCAAACCCCCTGGGAACTAAGAAAAGGAGAAATTACAAAACCTAAATTTTCAAACGGTGAACACAAAGAGAAGAAGGCTATTTTTACATAGATACAAGTTCCTTCAGCATTTTCCAAGTCCGAATGGTAATTTTAACAATACTTAGTCCTTAAAAAAAATACCCCCCCACATACTAGCACTGGTGAACACCTATAAGAAGTCCTAATTGAAATTAAATATGACACTAATTCTGTAATAAACCACCAGAGGGAGAGAGAGCTATTCTAATCTCAGTAACTTGAGTCTACTATTTACAGGTATAGTTTCGTTACCAATTTCCTCTAGTCCTGAAGCATGACCACGTGAGCCTCACCGTTTCCTTGATAATCGTGAGTGTCATAGATTCATTCCAGCCACCTGGCCCACAAGAATAAGCACATGACCATCACCTCCAGAGAAAATTAGATAGCAGTGTAGTTCCTGCTGCCTGGGGAGATCGGCAAGCATGCCATGACCAAGGACACCAGGGCTGTCATCAGGTTGTCATGCGTTTCACCTGCCACCAGTGAGCTGCATCTGGATGCCCTGAGCAGAACCCAAAGGATATTTTCAGAGACACCACTTGTCCTAAAAGACCTGTAGCACTGCCAACACCAGACCGCTCCAGTCTGGGGGCAGAGTACATCATGCTGATTCTCTTAGTACTACTAGTAATAGTAGAATTGGAAGAAGTAGTAGTAGTTAATGTCCAAATTAATAGGATTTGCTGTGATATTTCCATCAATACAGCTATCATTCATTGATCGTGGCTATCCTTCCTTCTTCTACCCTCTCTACTGTCTGCCCTTTTTGCCCCCTCTCCTGATCCTCTTCCCAGTACTTTCCCTCTTCCTCTTCCACTTTTAGGTCTTTTTCTTTTTCTAGTTTCCACGTATAAGAGAAAATATAGATTACTTGTCATACTGTGTCTGGTTTATTTCACTTCACATGACATCTTCCAGTTTCATCCATTTTCCCACAAAAGATATTGTTGTGGCTCAGTGGCAGAAAGCACTTGCCTGGCATGTATGAGGCACTGGGTTTGATCCTTAACACAATAAATAAATAAATAAATAAATAAATAAATAAATAAATAAATAAATAAATAAATAAATAAATGTACATCAACAACTAAAAAAAAATTTAAAGATATCACTTCATTCTCTATGGCTGAATAAAACTCTATAGTGTGTATAGGCCATATTTTCTTTATACATCCATCTGTTGATTAACACATACACTAATTATATATCTTGAATACTATGAATAGTGCTTCATAAACATGGATATGAAGGCATTTTC